CATATACTCCCAAAGAAATCATGGCAATCTAAATCACTATCTTCTATTTTTTCTTAAGAATAATATATATTATTATTGACTTTTTGAAGCATGAGTCTTGTATTTGTTTTTGTTAGCCCTGTACCATATTCAAAACCAACAGTTTAACTACTTTTCTTAGAACATTAGACAAAAAGTAGACTCTCAAGCACTGAGGATACACATGGGCTGATTCTCAGTCAGTTAGGGCAGCTTTGCTATGGTCGCCTAACTCAAAACTGATCTTTAAGCCTGCAGATCTGGTAAATGGAGGATTGTCCTATGTAAAGGAATCCTCCAGTGTCTCCATCCTCCTAGCATAAGGACAATGTTTAGGGGAAAGAAGACAATAGATAGGTAGGGCCCTATCAAATTCACAACCATGAAAAACGTGTCACGGACTGTGAAATCTGGTCTCCCCCTGTGAAATCTGGTATTTTGTGTGCTTTTACCCTATACTATACAGATTTCCTGGGGGAGACCAGTGTTTCTCAAATTGCGTGTCCTGACCCAAAAGGCAGTTGTGGGGGGGAAGAGGGGGGGATCTCAAGGTTATTTTAGGCAGTGCCCCACCAGTAGCAGCACAGAAGTAAGAGTGGCAATACCATACCATGCCATCCTTACTTCTGAAGTGCTGCTGGTGGAGGCTCTGCCTTCAGAGCTGGGCTAGCAGCCAACTCCAGCTGACCAGTTCTGAAGGCAGGGCTGCTGCCAGCAGCACAGAAGTGAGGGTAGCAGTACCACAGCCGCCCCCCACAATAACCTTGTGACCACCCCAGGGCACCAGGTTTGTATAATTTTTGATGGTTCCCAGGACGGGTCCACGTCCCTTCCCCACACCTCCCTTGTAAGCTGATATATATTCTTTCCTGTGTCTCCCCCACCCCCGCTCAGCTGGGGCCAGGAGCAGGGCCATGTCTCCAGGAGGGGTAAGGGGACTGAGGCTGGGGCCACAGCTGGTGGTGGGCGCGGGGGCTTGGGCAGCAGTTGGGACTCGATGCAGTGCCAGGACTGGAGCCCTGGCCGGCAGCTGGGACCCCTGGCACGGGGCTGGCAGCCGGGATCCCCCGTAAAAAGTGAGGGTGCTGCAGCACCCCCTGCACCCCTAGTTCATGCCCTATGAAAATAAGGTTAAGTGTGCCCTTCAGGTTGATGCTCAGTGGACAATTTTGGATCCACATATACTGGCACTAGAAAAGGTTCAGAAAAGGGCAACTAGAATGATTAGGGGTTTGGAACAGGTCCCATATGAGGAGAGATTAAAGAGGCTAGGACTCTTCAGCTTGAAAAAGAGGAGACTAATGGGGGATATGATAGAGGTATCATGAGTGATGTGGAGAAAGTGGTTAAGGAAAAGTTATTTACTTATTCCCATAATACAAGAACTAGGGGTCACCAATGAAATTAGTAGGCAGCAGGTTTAAAACAAATACAAGGAAGTTCTTCTTCACGCAGCGCACAGTCAACTTGTGGAACTCCTGACCTGAGGAGGTTGTGAAGGCTAGGACTATAACAGCATTTAAAAGAGAACTGGATAAATTCATGGTGGTTAAGTCCATAAATGGCTATTAGCCAGGATGGGTAAGGATTGGTGTACCTAGCCTCTATTTGTCAGAGGATGGAGATGGATGGCAGGAGAGAGATCACTTGATCATTGCCTGTTAAGTCAACTCCCTCTGGGGCACCTGGCATTGGCCACTGTCGGTAGACAGGATACTGGGCTAGATGGACCTTTGGTCTGACCTGGTACAGCCGTTCTTATGTTCACATTCCTGAATATTGGTGGAGCACGGGCACTATGGGCCCATATAACTCACTGCCTATGACCACCCCACAACTCCTTGAGCCCTACAACTACAACACTGTGAAGTTTCAGATTTAAATAGCTGAAATCATGAAATTTACAATTTAAAAGATCCTATGACAGTGAATTTGACCAAAATGGACTGTGAATTTGGTAGGCCCTAAAGATAGGTATGCAGTGGCAATCCTCCATTCCCTTAAGAGCACCTGAGGACTTATGGCAGCTGGTAGAACAGGTCTGAAGCTACTCTAAACTATGCTGGAAGGCCAGGCTGTCACAGAACCAACATAGGAGATGCAAAAGGCTCCTTTGCACACACTCCCCATGCTGTCCCAGCTCTTCCTTGGTCCCACTGAAAATCTGGCTCAGAATATTTTATGTAATATCACTGGACCAGATTCAGCTCTGTTATATTGGTATAAATGCAAAATAGCTCCACTGAAATCTATGAGGTAGTCCCATCAGAAAATTGGCATGTTGTTCAGGCACACATTGTTCTGTCAGATATTAAATATACAAACTTGGAATCCTTCTAAGATTGTTAAATAATGACACTCCCCCCTCCACCCCAATCAAAGATAAGTCTTTAAGGATGGATTCCTATTCTTGGGTCTCAAGATTCATGCCTACAATGGTCCGGTATGCTTTGCTGCACTTGAAAAGCTTAGTGTTTAACTGGCTCTCCATAAGGCAATAATCATGCGCCTTAGAGAAACATAATGGATGCCAATGCCATCAATCATCAGTTTTTTCTGTCGCCATGTGACAATGAGGAAGCTTGTGGTCGGTATTGCATCATTTTTTTTCTGTTGGGAAAGTAAATGATAAAATCTGGATTAACTATAATGTACTTAGAAAGTGAAAAACACTGTTGTAGTTTTATTTACACTAACCATAAATGCATACAGAGTGATATAAATTTACCTGAGATCCTCTTTCAAAAAAGTTTTCAGTCTAAAGTCTATTGAGTCTTGTGTACACTAAAGAAATTTACCATGAGCTTGATCCAATAAAGAGCTTATTTTTGTGTGTTATCTTAACCATGTGAGTAATCAGAGACTATTATGCATGTATTGAAATGCTTTACTGATTCAAGGTCTATGCTAGGAAAAGTGTGTCCCCCACCCATTTCCGCCGTCATGAATTGCCAGCATGAAGTGCTTCAGATGGTTTACTTGTGTCTGGCTTAGATTTGTTTCAGTAGAATTAAATAATGGTTTAGTCTGAACCATATCAGCCCACTCTGTGCTAGTGTCATTTTGGACTGCATTAATTTAATTACTGTGCCATAGTGCTCTGGTGTCTTTTCAAAGCCTCCTAGAACCCAGTGCTTCTGGGAGCTGTGTCAGGAACTGTGGGACCAGTATTCAGAGGGCATTGAAGAGCACTAGTATTGGACATGCAAAGCTACTACGGCATTCCAAGCACAAATCGACATGGCTAGTGTGGCTGCATCATTTGTGCTTAATCCAGTGCAATACCAATGGTTCAATTAGGAAGAGTTCATTTTTGGTAGTATAGGAAAGCTTATTAGACATTGCAGAACAATCAAAAATTGAACAAATGCAAATGGGAGTGAGGAGTGTAATCTTTATAGCTGAACTGCTTTGTGGAACATGAACATTGTTGTTGTTTTTTTTAATGAGGGCAATGTCTATCATTGTACTTTATAGACTGTTAGCTCCTTTTAAAGGTTAGCTTTTCAGTTACAAAAAGTTCTAAAGGTTTTTTTGTTTCTGAGGAATCTCCCTTTGAGCCACTTATGGATTTATTTGCTTACACTGTACTTTATTGTCTGTATAGCTTTGTTTCTCTTTCATGGTTCCTATTTTTAGTTTAAATGGACAGTTTTTAAGTTGTTTTAAATAATCATCACTCACTGCTGATTGAAAGCAATCAGTGATTTAATACTCTGCCTGAAGTGCACTTGTAAGGCATCTCTAAGAAGTTAATATAAATGCTCCCTTTTTTGTTTCGTGATTGATCTGTTTAGTTTAGAGAGTGTGACATGTGAGTGTGATATTGCTTCAAGAGGTCCACGTTCAGGAGCGGAAGGCAAAACATTCTTACCCATTCTTGAATTATTTCATAAATCTGCAAAAA